TACCCCTGGCTGCGCTACTGGGCATTTATGGACTCGTATGGGCCTGCTGGGGAACGAGATGGGCCCTCCCGGTCTTTTCAATCATTATTTCAGTTCATTTTACACGGTCTTCGGCGGTCTAGAGATTAGGGGCCTCAACTCGAAAGGGGGGAGGCCCGTGCGCCCTCTCCTTGTGTGCGGCCTTACTGCACTACATACACCGCTTCCCCTTCCTCCGCCATAAACGCACCGCTAGGCGCCGACAAATACGGACCGGCGCCGCCACCGGCTCCCCCGCGGCCTGCCTCGTGTTGACATAGCTCTTCCCGAACACCAGTGTAACCCCCACGCGGCCTAGGTATCGCCGCGCCCACCTGTCGGCGGCGCGGCCTCTGATGGCGTATCGGATCATTGATGGTGCGATACATATTTTGGGTCAGATTTTCGCAATTAACGCGAAAAACTGCCCAAAACACTTTTTAAATTTCAAAATTGATTTCTTTTTTAAAAATGACGTGAAAGTGATCGTTTTCAACGTGTAAATGTAAAACGCTCTAGCGCAGCCATTTTTGAAGGAATTGACTTCAAATTTTGCACACGTGTTCATCAACCATATTTGTTTAAAGGGACCCTCTCACCTTCAAAAAAAGTTTATGAATTGGCATGAAAGTGATGTCGCTCGGTTCAGAAAGAGCGAAAACGAATATCTACCAAATTTCACCGAAAAATATTCACCGGTTTCCAAGATATAAGACTTTTACTTTTCATGGTGTGTCAAAAGTGGAAATAGCCGCCCGGCTTTAGTTCGCCAGCCTTGTCAATAGATGGCAGTACCACAATATGGGCAGCGGATCGTGCAATTGACGTCAAATTTTTGTTATCTGCTAAGAATTGAATGGCGGATCTTTCCATGCAAGAATCAAGTAAATCGGTCCACAACTTTTCTAGCAACAGAGACATGAAGTCAAACACCCTGCCACAGCGGCGGCGCGGCGGCCGGCGGCGGCCGTTACGCGCCGCCCAGGCGCGCCTGGGAGCCTGGCGGCGCTGAACGGTTCCGACTTGGCACTGCACTAAAACCTGTTAACTGCTTGGAATAGTTATTTTAGCAAAATTTTCATTCAAGTGAGGAATAACCAAGGGCAGGAAGTATGTATGCTTGTATGCGTACTGTGTAATTCAAGAAACTGCATTAGCAGATACTCGCTAATATTAGATCCAGCCAAGTCCAAACGCATTCAAGGGGATGTGATTCTGATGGGTCAACAATATTTATCGTTCGAGGGCGGATACAGTTTTAACAATACAAAAAATATTTTTGCACAGCTCTATTCCTTGAATAATTCTCTTCAACGCCTCATTCCTAGTTAAGCGAATTAGCCCACCCTGGTTGAATAAATAAGGCGATTTTGCCACAAGGTCGCGGAAAACCGACCGAAAACGGCCGCGCTCAACGTTAATTTGGGCATGCAGACTCTTAAAAACTCGCATTGGGCGGGTAGGGTTTCCTAGGTATTGGCTCCAAAACACCGTATTCGGCTCCCGAATACGTCCAAGTGACCCGCCTCGTTCCTAGTTAAGCTCTAATTAGATCAAGTGACTCATAAGGAGCGAAAAAGCGACAAAAAACATGAATTTCCCTATGGCGGCGGGCTGCCGGGTTGCCAGACGGCGCACCGGCTATTTCCACTTTTGACACACCATGTGTTTACTTTTTGGGATCTCCTCTGTTCCTAGCGACTTTATTTGGAAGCAATAGTTTGGCAGCTGAAAGTGCGGCACTTGTTGCGCGCAAAGCAGCATATACCACCGCGTGCTACAAACGTTTTAGTCAAACATTTAAAAATCGTTTGATATCTGCGCTGACGTCACACATTCAGAGGGGTATTCCTATGCATTAGCCCCTCTGAATCAAAATGCTGCAATTTTGAAATTCAATATTTGCGATTTAAGGCATTTCTCGACGTTGTGAGTGCCGAAACCGGTAATTGTGAGCCATTTTGGCTACCCCATTTTGGCTATCTCAACTCAAATCTAATGTTAAGGTGGGAGGGTCCCTTTAACATATATTTCGGTTTTGTGAAAATTTTGAAAATTTCTTATACTTTTCTCTTGAGAAAGAGGTAAAACTTCGTTACGATCGGCCTTCCGATCGACCGAGAAGATTCGTAAAGTTAGTTCGTATCTTCACCATTTGTGATACAACTTGCGTACCTACTTAGCCTACGATGTGATGGATCCCCCCAATATCTGTTCCGATTCAACTTACGTTTGATCGCAACTGCGAGTTGCCTTGCGATCACATGGATCCCCCCAGCAATGTCACGACTTCTGACAATCATACACGAGGCCGGTTTTGATAAAAACATAAAAACTATGCGATTTCAGATGTCCCAAACATTTCTTTGGTTGGCCATATCGCGATTTACTCGGTTTGGTAAACTTAACTTTTTGGTAATTATGGCCACTCGTGAACCCCATTTGCATCACTGTGCACTCTAGCCCAGCTGAGGCCGGTACAACCTCTGACAGCTCAGCGCGGTCAGCTTTCTTGATGCCTGGCTGATTTGAGCAAAGTAGACATAAACAAACGCAAATTCATACATGATTTGAAAGTGACAGAGCAATGAATCTTCCTCTCAGGTACCTATCCTGAACAACTAGGTACCGACTTGAATCATTAAACTAACAAACATGACGTCCGTTTCGCAAGGCGACAGCCGAACGTCTCTTCCGTGACCGGTCAGACGGGCCTAGCGCCAGGTCTGCGCGTCGATAAGGGTCATTTCACGCTTTTGTTGGCTTACTTTGATCCATCATGACACTGAGTTGTGTGATTGCGGCGTGTTGCCGGCTGTGAGAGACGCATATTAATATTTGAGAATATTTTTTTTTCGCTACATATTGTTCTTTTGGCATTTAGCTTTCTCTGAAAAAAACATGCCCATGATTTTGAGAATGTCTTGGACAGCTCGTTGAATAAAAAATTATCACGTTTTTACAAAACGCAATTTTTGAAAAAGGCCATCGAACGATTTTGGTAAAAATCACATTTTTGGAATCAGCTCATCGTCAGCTTTTGAATGGTACATTTCGTTTCTTTTGTGGATGAAATGACTTTCCGACGAACCGTGAGTGAGCTGGAGCTCTGGCATTCTACCCCTCCCGGCTACGGACCGGCCCTCAGGCTAAAGTGTGTTATAGTACATTTTTGCCACCGACGCATGTTAAAAAAGTTCAGTTAAATTTTTGTATAAAGGTGGCCTGCTGAAAGGCTGAAGCGCGAGAGACGGTTAATTTCAGTCGACGCTAAAACTCGGAAATGCCTATCAAAACCCATGCATAAAAACACGGCGGTTAATTTCATTATACGGCAGTTTTCTTCTCTTCAAAAGTTCCCTGTTAAACAATGCATTCGATGACTGAAACTTCATTAAAAGTCCGGTCATAGAAGCTTGCAGCTTGGAATAAAATAAATTGCGAAACAGGTTGACAGGTGAATTTTGAAAAGAACACAGCCTTAATGTAATGACTTTTCGTATGCATTTCAAAGAGATGGCTTAGCAGGTTACGCAGAAATTTAGAAGGCAGATTTCGAGGTACACCTAGTTCTCAAGAGCCAGTGAAAAGAGCAATTGAAGATGAACCTTACAAAACGGGAAGAACAGCACTGTCAGGAGCCAGTGTTTGTAGTAAGATCGACGTTTGTTATCATACCTTCATGGATATTGGATGTCAAAACTCAAAACATAGGAAAGAGGAGGGAATGCAACGACATCACATTTCCCCACTAATGAAGACCAAACATGTCTCCGCAACGCCTACTCCTCACTCGCTTCGTAACATGAATGTCTAATAAAAGTAGGTAACAGACGCGTCTCGCATGTTTACCAGGAAATATCTGAGAAATGAGGGATGAATTTCAAGCAAAATACTACATGGTAGGCAATTTACCATTTGTATAGGTATACTGAAACCAAGTTATAGATTAATTTCGTTATTCGCCCATCGTGTGTTAAAGTCCATTGGCAATAATTTTCATTATACGCCCAAAGCTTTACCCATTTGCTGCCCCCCCCCCCCCCATCTCCCGTGCCCCTCCTTGATGTCGAAGCCCAAGAGCGAACCCTTTCTCAGAGATGCGTTGGTGCTAGGTGCCAAAAATTTACTATAATAAATTTAATTACCCGGTCCGAATACTATACCAGCCATGATACGGTCGCTTTTCCTCAAGGGTGTTTTCATTGAATATGCTCGCAGGCTCGCACATTCAATGCAAAAATTGCACTCATTTCATTCGTGCAATTTTCGAAAATAGCATCCTCACTCCGTTCGGACGCTATTTTCGATAAAATAATGTCCTCACTTCGTTCGGACATTATTTTAAAACACCCTTGGGAAAGCGACCGAATAATGTCTGGTATAGTGCTCGGACCGGGCAATTAAATATATATTAGTACTAGCGCAAACGCGTAGTAGTTACGTGACTGGTTCACGTATCGGGAGCGTCAGCAAGTGGCGATACTAAGAACGGGATCTAGTGGGGCAACCGGCACAGAAAAATAGCACGATTTTATTTTGGTAAGAATATCTATGACAGTAAGAGATTTATGCATAATCCTCATCCTCGGAGCAAACATGGACACCTTTTTTAACCCCACATCTGTTCTCCGGGGAATTTCCGGGAGGGGCACGAAAGATCTCTTTTTAGAAGTGTCCAATCGTCCGATCCTGATCAAATTTGTGTGTTCGTAAGCTTGCTCTGGCATCGCTTGATCTGCCAAGACAGACAAACTTGAGAAAAATCGAGTGACTGTACCTTTTTTGAAGGTTTCTAAACAACTTGTCTGAACTTCACGGGAGGACAAATGTGGGGTTTTAAAAAAAGGTGTCGACATGTCCTATTCCTCCACACCTTGCACTACATTTTCTTTCTCCACTGGCCACCAGCTAGTAAATAATAGCAAGACTCTAAGTTGGTAATATACGTGTACAGTAGCAGCTGCGGGTGCTGCACCTACCGTCTACCACCACCGGCTGTTCCAAGTACCGGTAGCCGGCCGCCACCAGCTCGTCACGGAACGTCGGATAGCTGGTGAGTGCTCGGCCCGTGCAGAGGCCGTGCGCCCTCAGAGCCGTTGGCGCCGCGCAGATGGCGGCAATCAGCCGGCCGGTCGCCTCCTGTTCTAGCAGCGCCCTCTTCACCAGCTGCGACTGTCGGCACGAAAAGACGCGCTCAGACAGAGACTATCGGCACGATCAGACGCGCTCAGACAGAGACTATCGGCACGATCAGACGCGCTCAGACAGAGACTATCGGCACGAAAAGACGCGCTCAGACAGAGACTATCGGCACGATCAGACGCGCTCAGACAGAGACTATCGGCACGATCAGACGCGCTCAGACAGAGACTATCGGCACGATCAGACGCACTCAGACAGAGACTATCGGCACGAAAAGACGCGCTCAGACAGAGACTATCGGCACGAAAAGACGCGTTCAGACAGAGGGCTGACGTCTGAAACAGCGATTAAAAAAACAGCGACTTTCAAACAGCGACTCACTCAAAACAGCGATCGCGTTGCCGACTCACATGTCAAAGCGATTGTTTGAGAGGGCAGTGATCCGTAATAGAGCGACTACAGAGGAGCAGCGACTTTTCTAGGCTAGGAAATGGCGATTGGAAGCTGAGCACATTTTTTTGTGTAAAATGCAATCGTTTTGAATAAACAGAAACTAAAAGCCAAGTTTGCAGCCAGTAGTCGAAGTATATTACCTTACATACAGGCTTGTTTCAATAATTTAGTCGTTCATTAGCTTCGCTGATGATGATCAACGGTTAACCCGCGCCCTGCTGGGGGGGGGGGTGTTTGAACACCCCCCCTTGTGGTTTTTCGCGAATATCTCAAAAACGGCGGCGCTCCGTGCCGCCGTTTTTGGTACACCTTATCATACATCAATTCTACACATGTTGTAAAAATTTCAGACCAAGGTCATTCAAGGTCAGGTCACCAGGTCACTTGAAGTGACCTCACCTCATAAAAAGTTTCAATGTCTGTCATAGCTACACCGAGTGACCGATCGCTTTGAAACTTTCAGCGATTGCTAAGAGCAATAGCATGTACAAAATGTATATCTCAGAATTTTGATATCGATGACCTAAGGTCAGGTCAATTTTGCGACCTCCCCATTGTAAGTCAATGGGAGAAAATTAAAATGCGCCTCTTTTGGACAAAAGACATTATAAACACTCTCAAACACCGAATTACAAGTGGTTTAGACACACTGAACATGAAAATGGTGTCTGTGACCCTTGTTTATGCCCTGAGGTCATCTTAGGCCACGAATGGTATCTCACAGTTTTTCGCAAATAACTTTTGATAGAGGCATACTAGAGCGATGAAAACGCCTTAGATGTGTTCAGCTCGACGATACGGATCGACTGATATGCAACATGGCCCTTTCTGGTCAGGTCATGACCTTGACCTGAGGTCAAATTTTCAAGTTGACCTTTCAAGGTCAACTTATAGCTCATTCGATGCGTCTTGACGAGAGGAACACAATGCCGGTAAAAGTAAGCTCGTACAAGGCTTGGATCAAAAGTCATTGCAGAAAAACTGTTTCCGAAAAAATCGGCTATTTTTGCAGTTTTTGCCCCCTGCAGGCAAAACCGTTGACGTTAGGTCAAATCTGAGAAAATTACTCAGAAAGGGCTTTATAAGAGCTATCGAATGCGCTTTTCCGCGGCGCTGTAGCTCTATTGGTTCTCGAGTTATGCGTTGGCTTCTTGGAAATTGTCGACATTCGACCTGGAAATCGGCGAAATTTTGCCTTCAATGACCTCTGGTGACCTGACCTTTGACCTGACCAAAAAATTGACCGAAGTGATTTCGTCATTATTTTTGACGCTCTTTCGAACGCCGCCTTCCGCGTATTGCTACGTGGCACAGGAGCCGAGTTACAAGGGGGGGGGGTGTTCAAACACCCCCCCCCCCCCAGCAGGGCGTGGAAATCCAGGACCCCCAGCCGGGCGCGGGTTAATACGCTTCGCGGCAAAAACTATTTATATTCCACCAAAGATGGAATGTATTTCTTTCTATATGAATATAACTCAAAGCATTCAAGCTACCGTCATGGATTACCTACTACCTGGATCGGCAACTCCGCGGAATTCCCATTGTATTGCGCGACCGCCCGAAAGTGCTGCCACCTATCGAGCAAACTGATCCCTGCTAAGGACAGCCCGCCGCCGCCGCCCAGTCAGACAGCGGCCGATACCAGCAAAGTCCGAAAATGACCGGCAAGTTACATGGCCTGAACCAGCCGCGGCTAAGTTGGGCATCGGCCAACAGTGTCGGGTCCCGGAAGAGCGATACAGGGCGGTTCCATAGACTCTATCGTTTTGGGTAGAATGGTGTGCATGGGTCGTTCGCCGAGCGCGACTGGCTGATTTTACCTCAGCACGTCGTATTGTTAGCTCTCATGGCCAGGTCAGGCGCCTTCTGCCTGCAAATACCTTCAATCAAACGACTTTGTCTATCACTCGGGTTGCCCTCTTGCTGATCATCTTAACCCTCGCCGGACCTATTGGTTTTCTACATACGCGCCGGCCGAGGGGGGGGGGGCGGGTACGACCCCCCTCGCCGTTTCGCCCCTGGTGGAGCTAGCGCGTCGCGGAAAAAACGAGCGTGTGCGCCGTTACGAGACGCAGAGATTGGTACCCGATTTTAACCCGCGCACCGACGGGGGTCTGCGCCAACTTCGCACCGACGGGGGGGGGGGGTGGGGGCGGATGACCGCCCCCCTGAGATCTCGAGAACGAAGCAAGATAGCGACAAGCGGTAAACGGCATCGGATACGCACGGTCAAGATCTACAATTTTACCCAGGTCATTTTCAGGTCAGGTCAAAGATGACGTCACAGGGGTCGAAAAAGTAAAAATGGCGGCGCTAGATATGGAGAGAGTTTTTCTCGAATAACTTTCGAATTAGTCAAGATAGGAACAAAATAAGGGCATCATCGTGATCCTCTCGTCAATCCGCATCGAATGATATATATGTTGACCTCGAAAGGTCAAGGTCAAAGGTTGACCTCAGGTCACGTGACCTCGAGGTCATCATGTATATCATTCGATGCGTCTTGACGAGCTTAACACAATGAGACCATCCACGCGTCTGTATCTTGTTCCTGTACGGAGTTATTGGCCAAAAACCTTTGGTGACCTTTGATGACGTCACATGACCTCACAGCTGCCCAACAGCAAAACAGACCTCAAGGTAGTGAAGGTTGATCGTATATGAAGTCATGTTTGGTATATGGGGCCATTCCGACCCGTTTTAGTGGTAAAAACAGTGAGTTGATTTTTCCCCCATTGACTTATAATGGGGAGGTCGCGAAATTGACCTGACCTTAGGTCACCGATATCAAAATTCCGAGATATACAAATTGTAACTACTAATGACCTAATGATATCCTGCGACTTTCAAAGGCCTCCGACATCTACTGTAGCTCTGGCACGGTGACAAAGTTGCAAAAAATTGACTTGAGGTTGGGTCATTCAAAGTGACCTGGTGACCTGACCTTAAAAGATAGGAGGTTCAAACTTGCACACCATGTGTAAAATTGATGAGGCAATAGTCATACCAAATTTCGCGGCGCTACGCGCCTTCCCGCTATTCGCGAAAAATCTCAGGGGGCGGATATCCGCCCCCCCGTCGGCGCGCGGGTTAAGGTCCTAGGTCAACCGGTGACCTCTGAGGTCAGGTCAAGTGCCCCAAGGTACGGTTCAGTTTTTGGTGAATAACTTCGCAAAAAACGGTCGCAGAGCCGCGATTTTGGCAGCATCGTGTTTGCATCGCTCAGGCGCGTCGAATGATATACTTTTTGCTCGGGCCAGGTCAACTTGGGGTGTTGACCTCAGGTCAAGGTCAGGTCAGCACCCCCAGGTCACGAAGTTGGTCGAAAGAGGTCATGTCGCATATCATTCGATTCGGCAGGTCTTCCTGAGTACATTGGTGGCTTCCGCGACTCGCTAGCTCAATTTGATCAAGAGTTATTGACGAAAAACTAATATGACCTTGATGCCGTCATAAATGACGTCACGCAGGGTCAACATTGCAAAAGTGACGCATCTTACCTTGCAAAGAGTGCATCAAATCACGATTCTGTGTGCTTAAGATAGTTGGAGATCGTTCCCGGCGCCAGAATAGCAGTTTTCATTTTTTCCCCATTGACTTATAATGGTGAGGTCACGCAAATGACCTGACCTCATATGACCTTAAGGGAAAATCCGAGATATACAAGTTGTGACTCTCATAATGGATACTAGATCCTGCAAGTTTCATTTCAATGTGACATCTCCTCTGGCAGTGAGGGCGTTGCAAAGTTGCGACATCTGAAGACCGTGCAGAGGTTCACTTATGACGTCATAGGTCAGTGACCTGACCTGACCCAAAAATGCGGTTGGTGTCAAAAGATCTGGCTTGAATCAAAGGTCAGGTATGGTAATCGAAATTCCGAGATATACAAATTGTAGCTACTAATGACCTAATAGAAACTGACGCCCCAGGAAGCTGAGCACCAGGAGAAAAAGAAACTCTGGACCCCCCCCCCCCCCACATCACGCCGTGATGCATCCAGAGAAGGATAAACCACGTGTCGTGTTTGACGCGGCTGCAGTATGTGACGGCACGTCACTCAACTCTGTACTGCTCAGAGGCCCTGACTTCATGCAGAGCCTCCATGGAGTGCTGCTCCGCTTCAGACAAGAACCCTTTGCAGTGGTAGGGGACATATACCAGATGTTCCATCAAATCAGAGTGAGGAACGAAGACCAGCCAGCTCTGTCATTCCTCTGGCGAGGAGTGGAAGTGACAGAGCCTCCCAGTCTCTATCAAATGCAAGTTGTGATTTTTGGTGCAAAGTGTCCTTGCATCGCAAACTACATCGTGCGTCGGACACTAACGGACTCTAACGGAGCAGAGAAGCTGAAAGAAGGGAAACCATCAATCATCTCTACTTTTACGTGGATGATTTCCTCCGCTCGGAGGAAACTGCCGATGCAGCGCTGTCGACGATGGAGCAGGTCAAGTCGCTGATAAGACCAGGAGGCTTCAGACTCAACAAGTGGAGGTTAAACTGTCCGGAACTTTTGGAACATCTGCCAGAAAGCGATAGAGATGCATCTAAAAAAAGCTCACAGCGTGTGAAGGTG